AAATCCTGTATGTCACAGGATCACATATACCAGTTTGAAAACAAAATGCAAGCGAATGAAGTAGCAGATAAAGCAGCTTCATTTTAACAGCCCCTTATTGACCAGGCAGACTCTTATGGAGCCTGGAGAAAGAAACAGATGCTGAGCAGAAGCACGGAATGGGCTGAAGTTCCCAACCAGAGAAACGGCAATTGTGCGAGGGCCAAAAGCAAATAATAATGATGTTATCATTCATGTGACTTATTGACGGAGAGGTAGCTCCCAATGTTTGTTAGTTCCTACAATTTGGTCCGTGGAAATTAAAAAAGGTTGCAGCACAGGGAAGTTACAGTCAGGCTCTGTCTTCTGATGGAGGCTCTCCCGACTGTAGGAGAAACTGACACACACGTGTGCTTGAGAGAATGAGTCAGAACATATGGCCAGGCCTCTCCTTCTTATCACATGGCCCACCTTAGCTAAATATAGGCGTGCTCTAAGTCTCTTCCCTGATGCTGTATTCCACTAGCAGGATCCAGGTGACAGGTTAACCACCAGGGATCCTATGTACGAGGCCCCTGAAGTATTTACAGTTCTTTTGTGCCACTCTTCTTTGAAAGAGGATAAATCATTTTTCTTTTTGTTTTTTTTTTTATACACTCTAACTACAAAATTGTGCAAATTATGTATTTATATGGATAAAAGTTGGAAGAAAATACAAATGAAAACCATTTGATTCATCAAGTTGGCTGGAACAGAGTGAAGTTTTTTAACTTAGAGTTTATTTATGTTTTAACTCAGCATGTTATTTATGTTTATGTTATTTACTTATATTTTACTTTTTTGCTCAAAAATATCTGAGGTGGCTTACAAGAATACATACAATAAGTTTTTTTTTAATAATCTTAAAAATCAGCACGGTCCAACACAACTAGATGGTGCCTGGCTACCACCACTGACTACTCTGACAAGAATCACAATACAGGGTCCCAGATAGAGCTGGAGAAAAATGTAGAACAAAATTCTAACTCACAAAAAAGACCAGACTTACTGGCCTGACAGAGACTGGAGAAACCCCAAGAGTA